TTAGATATATTGTGTATGTGCGCGCGCGCTACCAACCGAAGGATAAGACTCCGCGCATCTGACTGAAGTGTACTCAAAACTTAGGCCATTCAAAAATAAAATTAAAAAGGCTTGAAAATGACTGCTTTTTGCTTTAACGAACTATCCTGCTAACCCCCATCCTGGCGCCGCCCCGTGAAGTTGTACTGTCGTTTCCACTCAGGTCCAGAAAGCCGGAAGGAAGGAACGAACTTTATTTGCTTTCTCAGAATTCTGTTGACTTGCAGCTGGAAAGCTGGTGATTTGAGGCGGTGCAGCAGTTAAAATCTGGAATAATAATACAGAGTCCAGTGTCAGAGATCCGCGTTAACCTGGGACTCTGATGAGGTTCTTAATGTACTTTTTATGCATCTCGTGTGTGTCTGTTTACGCACACAGTAAGAGCTTTGGTGCAATTCAAAAATGAGGTGACTGATTGTGTCAAAAGCGCTCGAGGACGTGGCCTCAAGCCCATGCATCTAACGAACTGGGCTTTCTAGTGCCCGAAAGTAGACCCCACCGTCCTTAGGCTGTTGGTCTTCAAAGGGGCGCAACATCTTTCTAAATGCCTGCTGTGAAAAGGACCACGGATACACCTGAAGCGCTATTGATTTCAAAAAGGAAATATTTAGGCGGCAATCTTATACTCATTTGCCTGGCAGTAAATCCCGTTGAAGTGACTGGCTTTTGAGTAAACCAATATGGGCTTGACCCTGCACAGCAGATAAGCAACGCAGTTCATAATTTGAGCTAGATTGCACCCTTTACTTTTAATAAAGCATTCTCCGTAGTGTGTGGTACCCTCCTTTTTGCCCTTGGTAAATCCCAGTGTGGACTCAAAACCTCAAATCTATCCTGGGCTGCCCATAAAAGCACCTGTAAGTCAAACGATCTATGAGCCTCAGTTCTCCAGCTGCAAAATGGGCACAATCGTGTCTCGCCTTGCTGGAGAGACGGGCTCAATAAATCCCGAGAGAACAACCAGATCGAATAATAATCAGATACAATGTACCGTAATCGTGTGTGTGTGTGCGTGCGTGTACGTGCACACACACACACACACCCACACCCACATTAAATACATCCATACGAACGATTACATTATCTGATTATCTGATTATTATTCGATCTGGTTGTTATAGTTATATAAAAAGCACATGACTGCTCCATGTTCTTTTCTGACGAGGAGTCGTTTTATTTGGCCCTCGGCATCAGGGGACGTATTAATAAAGCCTGTGTTCCCAACAGAATTTAGAGAAATGCGGCTCGAGAGTGGTGTTTGTGTGCGTCCCCGTGTCCCCAGCGCGCCCCGTGTTGGGCGGGCGAAGGAGCCCCGCAAAAGCCCAAAATAACCCAACCGTTGCACGATACTTCCGTTTATTTTCTGCCGTCGCCCATAAAACTCATAGAGAGGATTAACAGTCGAGAGGAGGGGGCGGATTTCTGGAAAGGCATATTGAAATAAGGTGAGCACCTGGCATTATTAGCAGGACGAAGACGAAGAATAGGGAAAAGGAGGAAAGGGGCTGGAGGTGAACGGGAGAGGAGGAGGAGTGCGAGAAACCCTTTAGCCCGATTCTCACGTTTCATTGCTTGGGTTGACCCTGAGTTTGATCGAGATAGACTCAAATCTTTAAAAAAGCAAACCCCAAAAATCCACAAATTAAACTAGATTGTGGAGAATGTTCTGAAGCAGAGTGCGTTATTATTATTATTATTATTAACCTTTCACCCTAAAGTCCCAGGGCGTGTTAAAACAATAAAAACACAATATTTTAAAAGTCACTCCTTTTGAGCTCCTTATTGGGTTGCGGGGACTTGCGGATAACAACAGTGCAACATAATATTTACACCTGCAGGGAAGTGTATATTCGGGCGTGTAATTTTACGCGAATTTCTAGCGACTCACCCACCCCGCTCCCGCCCGCAAGTGCTGTAAATTAAGCTCCAGGATCCTTTATTTATTTATTTTTGAGAGAGCGATACGTCCAGGCCTTGACATTTCAGCAAATTGGTATTTTATGTCTGGAAGTGTTTTATGATCCAGCAACGTTCCGGGATTGAAAAGCACTGGAAATAATGGATTTCGAAAAGCATTTTTAAAAAGAAAAGAAAAAAAAATCCATCGGGATGCTTTTCGCTCGTCTTCTCCTCTCTCCCCGGCCCCTCTGACAATTAATTGAAATTGTCCTTCTGATAATTTAAAAAGAAATTGAAGCTTTCAGCTGGGCTAAAATTTGCGCTAGAAAGAGGGATTTTCACCAGCTACGAAAGATACCGCAGTTCTTCAGGAGAGTTGACTTAGGACGGGCAAAGTTCTCAAACATGGAACTGAGCTGGAGAAACTAACTTTTGTCCTCGGAAGACAGCACGTGTGAAAATTAACACAGACACAAACGAGCACTGTATTAGGGCAACGCTTTTATTAGGTCAACGAGGATAGCATACACACAAAATAATGTGCAAGCTTTCGAGTTGTCTAGAATTCTTCGTCAGCTAAAGAGGAGCGGGAGAGACAAACGAAAGCTCGCCAGCTTCCGTTCTTGCGGAGCTCCTGCGCGGAATTCACCAAGTGAAAAGCAACTTTTGAGGAATAAGCCGATGAAGGAGGTGGTAAAGTGGGGAAGCCTGGTGTTGAGATCTCCTAAATTGTGTGAAGAAGATTACAGGGCGAGCCTTATACGTATCGACTGCAAAGTAAGGCTCGTTGGAGTTCAAAGGCACTTCCGGCTTCATAGGTAGGATTGCAGCCTTATGGTTAAAAGCAGCAAGTCCCCAGTTCTGCCAAAACCTTGCTCGAAAGAAGCTCCCCGCATCGAGAAGAATGCAAAAGTTTGCTAGTCTGTGCTACACTCAATACTACCCTTATAGCTTGTGAATTCAAAAGAAAGGTCTAGTTTTCCATTCTGTTTTGGGAAATACCAATATGTTTTGGGAAAACCATGCAAGACCTTCTATTCCTCCTTACCAGGAACTATTAAACACGTCGGGCAAGATCAAATCCAGCACGTCAGAGCTCATTGATTTGACTGGGAGAGGTGTGCAGTATTACTCGCAAGTATGTTTTTATATATGTTCGAAGCCGCCCAAAGTGACTGGAGCACCTCTGAGCTATTTAATAATAATAATAATAATAATAATAATTAATAATAATAATAATCCTACACAGATCTAATAAAAGTGAACCCCACGGAGCTCACTGTGGCAGCCTCAATCAAATGTTTGTCCTTCCAGTTCAAAACAATTTTAAAATCCTTGGCTCGATCTGGGTCGTGCACGCACCGTAGCTATCAAATGCTAACATCCCCGTGCATTTCCTGTGAAAGTAACACGGAAATTAAAATGTTAAGCCGCCGCGCAATCTTTGGGCTTTGAATTGCCTCGGCTGACAACGCTCGCTTTCCCTGAGGCCATTTGTCAAGGTCCCGTGTTGCACTATTTTATCTCGAAAGGTAACGCGACCGACTCCTTTCAAAGCGTCTCCAGAACTTAATATTTATCCCCGTTTAATGAGTCCCAATATTGACCGTTCTTCTTTCCAAAGCCCTGGATGTGGCCATAACCTCTGGCGGCGGGGTGGGGGCCGCGATGTGAGCGACGCCCCTCCGGAATGGACCACAGGCTACGTGCCTTTTAATTTATTGCGCGGAAAAGTTATTGCTGTGGGGAAGGGAGACGGAGATGGAGGGAGGCGGGTCTGCGAATAATAACCGTTTTGCCACTAAAACCCAGAGCAGCCCCCGGGTCAAGAGACCACAGACATGGTTCCAGCAGCTGAAGACAATTGCCTCGATTTCCTCTCCCCTTTCATGTGGCTGTTGTTAGTTTAAAGCGCAGGCAGGATATGGAAAGGCAACACCGAGCTGAGATGCCCGCGAAGCCTTTTGAAGGCGGGTCTAAGGCATCCGCCGAGATAGCATCTGATAAATCAGAGAGCTTTTGCAAATGGAAGGTAATAGACCCCACAAGCAGAGCACCTTTTCTTTTTCAAGGTTTTTCTTTTCCGAGGGCGACGAGTGCTGCTGCCAAGACGGGGCCCTTTCTGTCCAGAGCCCCCCACCACACCGAATGGATATTGTACATATGCAACGTTTTAGCTGCATCTGGTTCGTTTTACGAGCTCGCAGCGCTGCGGGCCGAGGCGCACTCACTGGCCATCCGCAGAGGGCAATTGACCTGCGGGTGGAAACGTTTTGTAGGATAAATGCATCCGCGGGAAGCAGCCCCCAACCCCACAAAAAAGACACCTCCATTACAACTGGCAGGGTTTAAAACATTTTCCTGGACGGTCTCCTCTTGTTCCCACCGACCCCTGGAAGAATTAGACGAATTCCTTTATAGTAGGGAGGAAGAAAACCTCAATGGGTTTCGATTTCCCTTTGATCTGTAGGAAACAAACCTTCCTGCATTTTGCGTGGCTCATTAAGCTAATAAGATTAGGAAGATTAGCAACACTCCCCCCCCAAAAAAAGTCGCGTGGTGGGTATGACTAATTGTTTCCATCAGTTCCAGATCTTGTACTTTATTAATAATGATGGGATGGGAGGCGTTGAGTTACAGAAAGCGGAGCTAAAAAGGTCAGGACCACACATCAGATCAATTAAGGTGGGACTGGCGGAGACAGAAAAGGCGTGTGGGGAGGAGGGGGGGAGAAAGTCTGGACGGTTTGGGGGCAAATGGGTGGCAATTAAGTCCAGGGAAAATATATTTACAGCGTGTGTCTCCTACTCTAACGAGGGGGCGGGAGGAAGGAGGGCAGCTTCGAGCAGAAAGCCACCAGGGAGGGAATAACTAACTCCAGTCCCCGCCCGCTACTGCATATGCATAAAGAGGAGGCGCTCCGAGTTTATCAGTGTATAATTTCATGACGTTCGACGGCCCTGATTGGCGCATCGTCACAGAAGGCGGCGATTGTTCTCTCCCCCGCCCCGACTCTTGATTTGACTCGACCGCGCCTCCCTCCCTGTGACGCAGCAGCGCAGCTATCCAATCGGGGCGGCCTCGAGTCTTTCCCGGCTCGTAGCAATCCGATCTCCTCTCTGGAACGTCACTTGGAAAACGCTCCTTTTCGCCTCGAGGAGTAGCCAATAGGAAAGCCGCATGCAAATAACGTCCCGCGGATAGAAGGCGCTGGTCACGCCCAGGTGGGTGTGGCCGTCGCTCCGCGGCAGGGACGATGCTGGTTGGTGTGATGTGTGCGCCTGTTTTGCATCCGGGGCTTCGTCTGTGGAAAGCAAGGCTGATGTTTTAGTTATGCAAATAAAGAGCCGCCTCTGCTTCCCTTGCCCAGGAGGAAGATCAGCACGGATTGGTGAAGGCTGTAGTGGGAGGGCTCGTCGAGCCAGCCAATCGCGATTCAGGAAAACGCCAGAATTAGTTTAAAGATTCTTGCTAATGATATCTGTCACATCCAGCTGTGAAAAATACCTGTAAAATACCAGTCATAAGCAATACGTTTAATTCATCTGTCTTTTAAATTATTATTTCTAAACACTGCCCAACTAATGCTATCGCTTAAAATATCCAGCAAAAATATAGCCAAACGGCGGGCGACATAACATTTTGGAATACGCCATTTTAAACAGATTGAAACAGATTATGGTATCGATAAGGATTTGATATTAATATAGTGCGTTAGTTGCTCAAGGTGCTTCATGCAGAAATCGTCTCTACTGTCCATATCTTACTGAAAATTTTAGAAAAAAACAAACATGCTTTTTCTTGACTCATTTTAAATCAGGTAATTTTACACATTTAATTTCGACATTGATAATAATAAGCAATGGGTGCAGAGGCCAAGAGAGCCAAACTTAAACTGTAAAACTTAAGATACTGTAATTTTTTAAAAAGTCAGATTTATATTAATGCTTTTATTAATGTTATTACTACTTTTCAAAGACAGAGCACTGGAACTTTTGTTATTTTTTCCATTTAGAAACATACTGCATTTCTAGGCACCTGTAGGGTTCTGTAGAATTCTAAAGGCAACAATCCTATGCATGTTACAAGTTTTCAGTGGGGTTTAATTCTTAACGACTGCGGCCTTACTTTGAAATATTTCCAATATAATCTGCAAATATAATATATTTCCTTAAGCAAGCATTTTTACAAAATGAAGAAAGGACCCTGATTGTTCAAAAGCCTTTGAGTTCAGATTCATACAGTTATATGGAAATGAACTGACACATATTAAATGTGCTTTTCTATACAACTACTTTTATATTTCACATGCATTTATTGTTTCTATAAAAGATGTAAAAACGAATCACATTGCAGTTATTTAATTAATTTAAGAGTTAATGAAAAAGTTTAATTTTGGTAAAAATGCCTATTGAGACAGCTCCAGTAAATACCTCCCATTAAAATCTGATTGCAATGCAATTCGATAGTTGGTCAAACTACACAAGGTAAACGTAAAGATCAGTTAATTTACAGTGCAAATCTTGACATGCCTACTGAGAAATACATCTCATTGAATTCAATGAGACCTAAGCTCAGATAAGTTTGTATAGTATTGTAGACTCTTTGTACTTGGCAATTCTGCCTTCCAGGACATGAAGAAAAGAGAACTCGCCCTTTGCATTACGATTTTTGAGAAACCCCCAAATTGTTTAATGCCATTATCAATTTGTTCAACCTGTTTAATAAAATATAGCGTAATTTGTTGTGGAAAAGCATTCACAGTCATTGACAGTACTTTTTTGTGTGTCTATTAAGTTTGTTAACTATAATAATAACTGAGCTGTAGAGATTAGCGAGACATGAGGGGAATTCCCATTCAAATGATGTGTATGTGACATGTCATGTGATCAATTCCTTGGTGTGGGGCTTACCTGGGCCCCCCAATACTTTATTCAAGTTGGCACCCCTGGTCCTGAAAGGATTTCTCTTACCATAGAGAATGTCATTTCAGCCTTTTGGCCAGACCTCCTCCACAGACACACCTGCATTCCACTCCTCACACCCTCGGGCCTTAGAAGAGATAATTTATGACATCGCTTAATTCTTATAGCACCAGCGACCTTTTATCTCTCTAGATTATTATTATTTATTAAACTTATTAGTCTTTTCCTTTTTTTAACCAAAGTAAATCAAAAAGACTCACAACAATAAATACACACACACACACACACACACACACACATTAAAACCAGCATAAAACAAAAAGAAAAATCTGAAAGACAATAATATTTTAAAAGGGCAGGACAACCACCCTTGGCTAAATGCCTTCCTTTTTAAAAACACAAGTAAACAGACTTTTCTGACAAATCATACTAGTAAACAAAGCTGATCAGTGTGATTTTATGATGTGAAATGTATTTTGGTGTATTTGCCTCTCGCACCACAACCTGTTTTTTAACCATAGAAGGCTTTCATATTGCCCCAAGATCTACACAGCTCCATTAGTGCCTCCAGAAAACTAATGTTTTTGTTGTATATATGTATTGTTGTAATCCAGACCCTCCAAGTGTCCCTATTTTCCAAGGATGTCCCAGATTTAGAGAAACCGTCCTGCTTTCTGATTTGATCCTGGAATGTCCCACTTTTCCTTTCCCTATTTTCACTGGAGAAATGTTGGAGGGTATGGAGTTATCTGACCCCCGCCCCACAGCCATCTGATGGCAATCCTGTATAGGGAAGTTTTTTTAAAAAAAAGTTTAATGCTTTATTATGTTTTTATACATGTTGGAAGCTGCCTAGAGTGTCTGAGGAAACCCAGTAAGATGTGTGGGGTATAAATAGTAAAATTTTCATTATGGAATGGGACATCCCTATTTTCATCAGATAAATGTTGGAGGGTATGGGCAATCTGTTTTTATGCTTTAACTACTTTTTATGAATGGTAGTATTCAAGTATTTTTAATAGATAAATAAGTAGGGTGGTGCACAAATGTGATGTTCAGTGCAAGAGAAACTTCTGCTTATGGGGCATCCTACTTGCAAGCTGGGGTGAAAAGTATGTGTTATGAACCTGAATGCTGCCAAAGAAATTGTGTTAAGAAGATGAAGGGTGTTTGGAGTTAACTTGCACCATAAAAGCTTAACCAAACACTGAATCTCTGTTGGAGGAGCACACTTTACCCTGGATGTAATCATACTGAGTTTGGAAAATAAGTGTGCTGGTCTCGTGGGTTAACCGAGAGGCAAGGTCCGAGTCCAGTCCGAGGTTGAAGGTGCAATATGAAGGCAGTCCATAAAAGCTGAAGCTGGGAGCTGGGTAGGGAGGTCAGGAGCGCAGGCAGAAAAGCAGGACAGGGTTCAGGCAGAAACTGGCAACCTACATAGTTGCTCCCGCAACTTGGGACTGGGTCTGGCTGGCTTTTATCTGCCCTGAGGCATAGGGCAGACCCGATCCTCAGGTGACTCACCTCTCCTGGCCTGGAGGCGAGCACGCCTCCTGCAGGAACTTAGTTCCCTCCGCCTCTGTGCCCTGAGCCTCTGCAGCTCAGGAGAGGCTGGAGGGTTACCGGACCCAGAGGCAACCTCAGCCTCCCCTGATGGGGCTGAGAGTGGAGCACCTGCAGGCAATGGGTCCTCCGTCACCTCAGGAGCCAGAGCGGACTCAGCTGGAGCCTGCACCTGAGGATCCAGCACAGGTGAGGACGCCTTCAGGCTCATGCCCCAGCCCCGGCTCAGCTGGTTCTGGAGGCAGGGAATCCTGTGCAGCCTGGTATTCCTCAGGTTCAGCATCCAAGTCCATCACAATAAGAAAGCAAAGGTTATTAAAGAAAATACACACTTGATAAGAAAGATCCTTAACAAACTAATGTGGAGATGCTGTCAAGGCTCAGGGATTCCTATCCCTCCCCTGGTGGCGGTCAAAGAAGCAGATAACACGAAGAGTCCTTACCACATAATTTATTCAGTATTCACAGAGAGAGACAAAGGAATGTAGTCCTTATTCAACAATGGCGTTGCTTCGAGTAAAGCCCAACTCCCGCCATCTCTCTTATCCTACGTCATCCCTGCACTGGCTGATCTGAACTTTCTGCCTGTGAGCTTTTTGTTCTACTACTCTTAATGCATGCCTAGTCCTGGGAGAGGGGGGCTCAGGAATGCTCTCCAAAGACACTGAGTCTGTCAGTTGTCTCTCCCCCGGTGTTCTTTCTTCCTGCTGTTCCTCTTCTAGTATTTCCCAGCTTTTCCCCTCTGCAGTCTCTGAACTATGTCCTTCTGCAAACCACTCTTCTAAATCTATACTGTCCTCCTGTTCTCAGGAAGGTTCAGGAGAAGGAGGAGGCACCATTCCTCCTCAGTCCAGCCCCTGACAGATACAAAGACCCATGCTTTCTCTTTGCTCATAGGAGATAGAACTGGCCCACCCATGAAACAATGTGAGGAGACTAGTTCAGGCAGCAGAATCAACACAGTTAGCAGATCTGGTCTCCAAGGAATGCATCACTCGCTGCTGCTGCCACCATAAGGGCAACAGCCCTGCCTCAATTCCATGTCTACAGTGGCCTCTTGGCCAATAGAAGTCACTGCTGTTCTCCTCCCACCACTGTTCCTGATGTAGATGTTCACTCATTCCTTCTTACCTAGTGGTGCAGGAGGGGCACCATTTTGTGGTTCGCTTCAGATGCTACAATTTCTTAGCTTGGCCCTTCCAAGGTAAGGCTGAAGAAGAAGAAAGTAGGAAATGTGGTTGGCAATCTTAAGAGTATCTGTCTAACACCCGAGGCAGAGTCAACACAGGTTAAAGTCCAGTCTACTCTTTCCCATGCAGACTCATCTGCCCCCATTGCAGGCTGAGTTGCATCCCAGTATTTTCTACAGAAGACAGTTGTGTTGCTGACTTGGCCAACATAAGATATTACAAGTTTGCAAACCTGACAAGTGTGCCTATCTGAGGCTACATCAGCCACCTGAAATTTGGAACATCTTGGCCTAAAACGTGTCCACAACGGCTTGACTATTTTTAAGATAAGAAAAAGAAAAGAAATAAACCCATTCTTATTTTAAAGTGGCTTAACCAACCAATGTGATTGGAGAGAGCTCCAAAATCCACCGTTAGTTTGTTAAAACATTGCAAAATACTGCACAAGCTTTTGAATTCTCCAGAATTCTTTGTCAGACGAGGTGTTACACAAAGCAAGCATTTTTGGGATGAGGAAAATGAGATCTGCCTTTACACTCCATCCGGAAGGCTGAAGTTAAACCAATTAAAATGTGATTCCCATTTACAAGGATCTGGATTAAGTTAAGCTCAAAGGCAAAGCAGAACCTGAGAGCTGCACAATTGATCTGTCCATATTAGAGCTAAAGAATTAGCACAGGCAGCTGGCAAATCATTAATTAACCATAGTCGTTGTCTGAAAATAGAGCTCAGGGGATTTCCTGGAAGTAGGAAGCACTCATTGCTGTGATCTGGTTTCTGCCTCATAAATAAGACTGTGGCGGGTAATGTCTGAGATTCACACCATAAACTGAAAGCAGCTACTTTGGAACCAGCAAAGAATAAAGAAGTCTAAATCCCAGGACTTTCTGTACAGACAGAGGCTGTGTCCTATGCAAACCAGTTGGACAGATGGATAATATATCTTAGGGTAACAGCTCAGCATTTCTAGATAATTAACAAACTAGGATCGCCATGGACCACACATTAATGATTTTTAATCAATAAAGGAAATTTAAATCTAACCACCAAAGGCACATTCCTTCATTGTTTCCTGAGACAGACAGATGCCAACAAGACCCTCAACAACTTTGGTCCAGCTCAACAACTTTGTCGGGATTTTTTCTTTGGGCAATATGGCAACCCCTTCCTATGAATTTGGATGGACTTATTCTGGATCAAATTGTTGAGTAACAGAGTTTACTCTTGTACATCTGTTGATAGAGTTTTCTTTTAAGTGGGAGAGAAAATGGCACAGTGGAGTTTGCTTCAATAGAGCCTCATGGAAGCTTAAACTGCCTGCCTGGCTTGCACGGAAACCTGGTGCAGATGTTCAGGTTGTTGGTCGCTCTTAGGCAGCAGTCACCACCAGTTGTGAGATGGGAGCAGTTGTGTAGCATGGGGGGACACACACAGGGGCGGTTCCTCTGGGTCCAAGATTGTTAGGGGCACAAAAATTCAACACCTGGTGCTGCCTCGATACAGCTGTGTGTTTCCATTGCTGGGCTCCGTTGAAAACGGCTTCACCATGTGAATTACCGGTAAAAAGTGACATCTCCAGACAACGGGAAAACTCTTCTTTTCTTATCTCTGTGGCTGTGATCTCCTGGGTGACATGGACGCTGTTAGGCAGTTGAATGTCCACACGTACTCCATCCATTTCTCTCCTCCCCTCTGTGTGGCCCTGGGCACTGGCAACTCACGCTACACCATTGGATGGGAGTGTTGGAGAAAGATAAAATGCAGAACCATAACAGAGCCAAGAGAAATATGATGACACATATATATATATATGGGACGCGGGTGGCTCTGTGGGTTAAACCACAGAGCCTAGGGCTTGCTGATCAGAAGCTCGGCGGTTCAAATCCCCATGATGGGGTGAGCTCCCGTTGTTCGGTCCCTGCTCCTGCCCACCTAGCAGTTCAAAAGCATGTCAAAGTGCAAGGAGTCAGCCACGACTGGACCTAATGGTCAGAGGTCCCTTTACCTTTACTATATATATATGCATGCACACACATGTATGAATGAGTAAGAAGAATTTCTCCAGCTAAGCCATGCAAAATAACAGCACAGTATAACTAATTGCAACTAATAAATTGGAGGTGCTTCCTCACTTTGATGATTTAGCAGCACCCAATAATTCCTGCTCTATTTTCAGCAGCAAGTGGAATAGCAACTCTGCTTTCAATCTCCTGGACTCCAAATAACATCCACACGGGGGCAGTCTTGTTTGCCCAGCTGCAGTTTTTTCCTTGGGGTGGGTGGGTGCTGATACAAAGACAAAGCTGTTTA